TCCTTTTGCTAAAAGGTTTGTGAAAATAGGATTATATTTACTCTGGGGAAAGAAATTAAAATTACTTTCTTCACTCTAGACTATACTCAGTCATTCACAATCAACAATGTGGATTTGAGCTAAAAGATTTTTTTTTTTCTGTGTTCCATAAAGCTAAAAACAACTTTAAAAAACACAAAGACTTGCCACAGAGTATCAAAAAGTGTTCGCTGTATGGGTAACTTGCCCATAGACTAAGCTATCCATAAATATTTGTTAAATCAATGTTTAACAATTTAATCACACGTATCTCAAAGAACAGAACAGTGAGCCCGCCTGGCAACCAAGAATATCAATGCAGTGCCGTGAGTTGGATGCATGGTCACAGAGCTGAGTTCTGGAAAGGACACGCTTCTAGGATGGTGAGGCTGAAAACCCTTTGTTTACTTCAGAGTACTGCAAGGGGACCAGAGCATTATTACAGTGGGATGGACTGAGAAGGATAATAAGAGTGTTGCATGTTTCCCGGACCTCAGAAACCACATGCTCTAGTCCTTTGTTGTTGAACCACAGGAACAGGAAATAGGCACAAGCCAGGGCTGGATCCTAGATAAATCTAAAGGCCAACTCTTGGCCAAGTGGTTCAGTCAACCCAGAGGCCCAAGCTAAACTTTACTGTCTATACCTAAGGAATCAATGAACACACCCTCTGAAAGCCTTAGAGTCCTCTCAGAGCAGCCTGATGGGTCCAATGAGTGTGCCAAGTTGGGAAATTTGTAGTCATCTAGGAGGCCATTATCAATTGATTATAATGGAAGCCGCTGTAGCTTCGACAGTTCCATTTCAACTTGGGTCCGTGGGAAACGATCCATATGGCTCCCAAGATCTGCTTCTAATGATGTGAAAATAGACAGACACACAAGTGTGTATGTGGGAATACTAAACATACATCTATTTTATTACTATTAATATTCATTATAGTTAATATTACATATATAGATTTCAGCTCTGAAAGAAATGCTTTAATGTAAATTTCTGTCTTCGAGCAGGCAAGACCTCCTGCACAGAAGTTGGCAGAAGAGTTTGCTTAAACAACAACAGTGCAGTGACTCATCTGTGTTTTCACAACATGTTTGCACCAGCACCCATGTCTATTTGTAGCCTGACAATGAAGGCCGTATTTGTGAACCATCTCTGAGCTGTCTGCCTTTAAAAGCAAGGACACTCTTCTCGGTTGACTCATTTGAGCTACTTGGGCTTTTCAGAATAACCCGCTGCCACATTATAAAGGCATGTGATATAACTGAAGATTACTTCAGGCTATGCCAATGTTCTGCTTAGTCTTGATCTAGTGTTTCGAAAAGCAAATAGACCAAGGGGACTTTATCCCCTAAATAAGCCTACTACATTCCACTACTGGTACCTCTTGGGGACACAGAAAAAGAATGCCTTATCAACACCCTAGACTGTAAACACCATCAGAGTAGGGATTCTTATCTATTTTGATCACTTATCTGTATCCCCAGCACTTTAAAGAGTGTCTGTCACACAGTAGAGACTCAATAAATATTTGCAAAGGAATAAATCAGCCTCTGCCATGCACCTGGGAAATGATCTGAGACTTAGCACCAAATCCATACAATATTTTGTTGTCCTGATGCCCCGTCAAGATTTCTCCTGCTAGAGCATCAGAACTTCTGTATACTCAAGGACATGCTCTTTCAGTACTGAGATGCTTTCCAACACATTAAGTCACCTTACTCTCTAGTCCCTAAAATAGATAAAACCAATAAAAATCTCAATCTGAGTCATCTACCACTGCAAGCAAATCTAGAACAATGACTACAGGTAAAATGTTTCCTATTAAAATACTGGGATATGTAAAATCACTGTAAAATGACTGAGTTGGGGAGGGGAAGTGTGGCACCCTAGCTAGTCAGTTCCAGTTATACAGATCATTTTAGATCTATAAATCCAGAGCTTGGCTCTATACACCTTCACTAATAGCACTAGTTTCCCCAAAAGAAAGAGATTATAGACTATTCAGTTCAACAAATATATATTAACAATCATTAATGTCTTATCCTTCTTTTTCAGTGTTTCTGCCACCCACCATGACTTCTCCAAGTACCAAATCGCAGTACTTGCCCAATACGTTCTTCAAAGAAAAAGACAGGAACTGAGAGAAAAATAGACACTTCAATATTTCCAAAGACCTAAAACACTGAGTTCACAGTTTCAGTGAAATTATCAATAGGGGTTACAAAATCTATCAATAAAATAAGTAGAATATGTCTGGCAAATATCCTCCTAGGTTAGAAGCTGATTCACTGAATTAATTTATATATGGGAATATGAAACATACATGTATTTTATTATAATTAATATTCATTATAATTAATATTACATATATAGGAGTACCTCCTAGGAGTGACACCCAGCAAATGGTCCTTTTAGCAGACAACCTAGCATTCTGATGAGCTGAAAGCATTTATGTTTCTCCTAAAGGCTGCAGAACTCAGAAAACTGCTTACTCTACCAGCAAGGCCCATCCCATGACATTCCTCACAGACGAGATACCCACAATAACTGCATATATTATACAACAGAATCCTTTACTTTCTCCCAAACTTGCATATATGGAAATTAATTCACCTCGGAGAGATCAACAATAGACTTTAACAGATTTCTTCCTCATCTCAGATGCGGCATTTTAAAGCTACGTCTTATGAAGCTGGAAAGGGGTTCAACTCAGTTTAAAAAGCCAATTCATTAACATTTAGGAAGTGTTGTAATTTCTCCATCTCTATGAAAAGAACATTCACAGAAAGCTACATGTTGAAAAATTATCTGCACAAGAAAGTCTCCATCTATTCTGAAAGACAGAAAGAACTTAGCTTGCCACTCTCTCAAAATCACAGCTTTCTTTCATTTTCCTAACGTGGCTGCCTGTCTTACGTTCTTCGTGCTGGCCTCATGGTGCTTCCCCAGTCTCTCTTCTCCACTTGTTTTCTTGAATAATCTGATTTAGTTATCATTATGCTATCACTTGGAGGAAGAAAACTGCACAATCTGGATATAGAGCAGACTTAAAAAATACTATCACTGACATCACTGTTACAGTTTAATTTATTCATTCTTATCTTATGAATAAGGGGAAAAACACCCCATCAGTATATTTCATCTTTTTGTCCTACCACATTTGGTTTCTATTCCCCACACGGCAGGTCTCTCCTGGGGACATAACACATAAGCGTTTCCTGGCCAGTGTAATGTTATTTTTTTAAATGTTATTTAGCTCCAAATATTTAAAAAATCACTAAATTTCACATAAGAAGATTTGAGTTTTCAGCCTCTTTTTGAAAATCAGAAAGTGAAATCATACTGAGCACATATTCACATGAAAACAAGCAAAGCTGAGAAGCCACTGGCCCCTTCCAACAGGGCATGGGCTCTCAAGGGTCACCACATTCCCAGTTATGAGAAAGCCAAGCTAGCCACGTGGAAAAGTCATGGTCAGAGTCCTTAGTCCCCAGCTTTTCCAGACATCCCAATCTAGGCACCAGACCTGTGACTAAGAAGCCTTTGGGTGACTCTAACCCCAGCTGCCGCCGCACTACAAATGTGTGAGGCCAAAGAGGGAGCCACCCCAGATGAGTCCGCCAACCAACCCCAGAAACCTGAGAGAAGCATAAAGTGGCTGTTTCAAGCCTCTAGGTTTTGGGTCGATGTGCTATGTGATAGCAGATAAGGGTTAAGAGATAAAAACGCTCTTCACTGACTAAATACAATGGTTTAAAGTGACTTCCCCCTTGTCACTTGGGCCAACATAGATGTCCTATGTCCTCTCCATCACGTTTTTGTGTTTTGGCAGAATCTAAAGCATGAAGATGCACAGAAAAGAAAACAAAGGCAGAAGAAAAGCAATCTTTTGGAATCAGCTGTATTTTTTTTCTTTAATAAGCTGGCTGGCAACACTGACGAATGTCACATAGGTTAATCAATAATAAGCTCGAGTAGAAGGACTGGGTTTGGAAAGGGCTTGAATCTGCTTCTTTTCATAAGAATATCAGCTTCAGGAGCACCTGGGTGGTTCAGTCAGTGAAGTGACTGACTCTTGGTTTAGGCTCAGGTCATGATCTCATGGGTCCTGGGGCTCCACGCTGGACAGGGAATCCGCTTGAAAACTCTCTGCCCCTCCCCCACACATGCTTGCTCAAATATTCAAGCCCTCTCCTCTCTCTCTCAAATAGACCTTAGAAAAACAAAATACCAGCTTCACTCACTACTCCGTATTCAGCACCTAGCACAACGCTTATTTTTTTCTTAGCTTTGTACGTACTTTTCTGATTCATAGAGAGCATCCAATATATCTTTTCTACCACAAAAACTTTAGCTGTTACTGACACAAAAGGAAGGCAAATGGCACCCGCAGAGTAACCAACAAACTGTGCTTTGTACAAATTAAGTTAAGCCAGGGTCTTCACAGCTTAATGGCGGGCAGATTCAAGAACAGGAGAAAGGACTCTTAACTTCCATTCCTTAAAGCTGAGCTCTACTGATAGATATGCAAATTAGACCTCAAGCAAATCACTCAATTTTTTGATGACTGTTTGCTCATGTGTAAAATGAAGCTAATCACACATTCCCAGAAAGAGTGTGTTCATCAAGTTCAACAGAATATGGTCTGTGCGCTCAAGGTAGTAGGAGATCTAAACCTGGTGCCCCGCACAAAATTAAAGCAGCTGAGATGCTTTTGCCCAAACAGAATTGTATATCCGCATTTCCTTTCCTTCTTCTCCCCACTTGTGACTCAAGCCAGATTTCATCGAGCTATTTTTGTAATTACTAAAATGCTGGAAATATAGCAGCAGGCCAGAAGCAAAGTAAAATGCAGCATCCAGCAAAAGAAAGAAAATCACGCTGAGTAACTGAAAGGCCATCTGCTCCTCGCTGAGTTGGAGGGGTGAGGAAGGCAATCTGGGCTGTACTATTTGTGTCTTCCCCCAAACCAAACCCACCTGCATGTTGTCAGTGGCATCCCCAAGCAGTCCTCCAAAAGTGATAGCATTAGTTACAGTTGCCAGATAAATGAAGAGAATTGCTGAAAGCGCCTGAATATTTAAAGCATCATAAAAATCACTGGCGAAAAATGGTGCTTTCCTCTTTATGTCCTTAATTAGTCCACCACAGAACCTGGGCAGGGAGAAAGCAAACATGTGACAATGTAAAACAAATTGCCATCAAATTAACCCAGAGATAACTTATGAAGCCACAAAGAATTTGTATTCAAAGTGTTTGAATCAACAAGCTCTACTTAACCACTTCAGGGAAAACCAGAAAACTGTAGAATACATTTTCTTCTATCTGCCTCTGTTGTGGTCACTAAATTGGGTGTCACATTCCCTAAAAAACAGACAGTTGGTTTTTAGACGAGAGTGAATTGTGTAGATAAATTAAAATTTCTCACTGTTTGAAGAGAAACGTGTGAGCACAGCATGTAAGGCCCTTTATAATCTTGCCATAGTTTCCTTTCCGGCCCCATTCATCATTCCACAAGTGTTTACTGAGCACCTCCGATACGCCCAGCCCGACTCCGGGTGCTGGAGACGCACCAGGGAATGACACAACACAAACACCTGCCCGCAGGGATTTTGATTTCTAGATGGCGGACAGACAACAGAAGTCAAATTCACGGTGCTAAAAATCAAGGTAAAAATTAAGTGGGGAAGACGGTTATGAAGTGCTAGAGAAGCAATGGCTGAAATATTAGAGTGGCCAGAACGGACCTCCAAGTGGGGGACTTTGGGATAAGGTCCCAGAGGAATGAAGGGAGGAAGTCAGGCCAGTATAAGGAGGAAGAGCATTCCACATGATACATGAATAGGTCAGCGGCCTTGTTTGGGCATCGGTCCACCTATCCTCCCAACCAAACCTCAAATCTCAGCTTTCCCCATGACCTGCCTGCCGTCTAGGAGGCCCACCCTCCTAATTCAGCAGCTCTCTGAAGTCCTGACCCTCCACTTAGAGCTCAGATTTCCACCACAGGCTATCATACTTTATCAGGACTGTTGGCGGCGGGGAGGGTAGGCGGAGGGGCTTCTGGCCCTCACTGCCCTCAGTGGTCTACTTCCGTTTTCTTGGTAGGCACAGGGCTGAGCATGGTACCGGGCATGCTGCACACACTCAGTGCATTTAGGAAGAAGGGAAATATACAAGCATGGAATTCTATTATTTATTTATTAAATGAAGGAGTTGAATTTTTAAAGACATGATATAATTCTATATGTTGCATGCCAATGAGCTCATTTTCATAAAATTATTTTTAAACTGTCAAAGAAAACATATATAAGGTATTAATCCTATCATAATTACTATTATTTATCATTATCAAAACTGATCTTCCTAGTGACCTACACTTTGTAAAAGCAGTCGTAAAGTTAACAGCAGATAAAGCAAGGAATTCAGAAATCCATATTTCCTCTATTAAAATGTTTCATATATTGAAATAAACAAATAGAGAAAGAAGTTGAATCCTAGAACTCATACCTATAGAAAATGAAAAGGATATTCATACTAAAAATAGTTTGTGAAGAACTATTCAGGAAAAAAATAGGGGGAGAGAAGGTTTTGTGTTCTCTATTCTTTAAGAAAAAAGGGAAGGGAAATAATGTCCCCTCAATTTCAGAGAGAAACCCAAGCAGTCATCAGAGGAATAAAATCATTTTATTTGGATTCAACTGCATATTAAAAAGGCATACTTTTGTGTTTCAAAAAAACCCTTGATGTCCTTAAAAAGTTCTATCTTCATAAAATGAGTACCCTACTTAAAATTTTACTTAATCCAAAAGAAAATGGAAAATCTAACAGGGCAAAGAAAAGGAAGATGTATCATAAAAGGAGACTTACAAAAGCAATTGGAAAACCTGAATCCCCAACTGCAGGCTAGGAAGACCATGATCTGTGGGTCCTTCATGTCTATAACACGTTCCCCATTAGTAAGTAAACGTACAGAGAAGAGATGGAATCCCAAAAGCCAAATGAGGAAGACAGGCCCATGGCTGTCTTGTGGCCACTCACTCACACCCACCTGTAGGCCCGCTGACTTTCTAACACCTCCTCTCTCACTTCATGGCCTGGATGCCAACCCACCACATACCACAGGCTCTTTGCTGTCTCCTCTCCCCACCCCCAATCTGCTGGGTCTGTCTCCACACCACCTTCAGGACTTTCCTCACAGGCTACACTTCTCTGCAAAGCCTTCTCTGACCACCCTATTTAAATTGGAATACCTTTCTCCCATCACTAAACTCCCTACTTCTGCTTTAGTTTTCCCCCAGAAAACCATCACAAGGTATTTTCACCTGCTTAGTGTCTGTCTCCCACTCCTACAAAGGAAGACCCAAAAGGACATGGGGTTTTTGTTTAATTCAATGTTGTGTCCCTAGCGCCTGTGACTAATCAATATAAAGGTCTATTGGCCAGTGATTCAAATGCCAATAGGAAGATGAAGGGAAATTAAGATCTCAAGAGAGCCTCATCATGAATGTCAAAAGAATCCATCAGTTACCGTCCAGTTCGCTGCAATTCTTCACAATCTGCGTGTCCCCCTCCTCCTCCTCCGTGGCCTCCATCATGGGGTGTGTCCCCATTCATCTGAACATTCTCTCCACCTGAGTACATATTCTTTCTAAGCAAGACAATAGAAATCAAGAGAATTATGAGTTTATTTTATTCATCTGCTTCTTAGCTGTGTCATGCACTAGACTGATGAAGAGATTGGGAGAAAGGTCATTATATCCTTCTGCCACCCTGGCAGGCAATTCTTAAAGCGTTATATTTAGACAGAAGACAAATGACTGATGAATAAAAAGCTGAATGAGTTGTATATTATACAAGAGGAGAAACTGTCTCACCTAGAAAATAACAGATTTCCAGAAAATGACTTCTCCAAAATTATCTCACCCAATTTCTTGACCTCTTAAGTCTATAGGGACTCATCTTGAGGAAACCGATCTTTCTACACATAGAGGAAGTCCCCAACACATTCTCTCCAAAAATCTCTGCGGTGTATTCCAATATCACAATCTGAGATCTCTAGCTAGCAATCACCAAATAAAATAACAACATACACCATTCATTTTACAGTGTCAACGAAATGCCAAGCCAAAACACCTATGTGATTCCTTTGAGAGAATACATCAAGTTAAATGGGAACCTGAAAACACAGTATTAGGACAGTCACCTGACCCCATTTCTTTTTCTGCACACAGCCTCCTCCCCAAGGATGAAAACTCCCAATTGCCTGATAATTTACCTTTTGTCAGATGATGGAAGACTCTTGGGAGGCTCTATCCTGATTGCTGGATCCCATTCTCCAGGGGGAAGGACAATGACTTCATCTAGGAACTCGTCGATGCCAGCAATCAGGTCCTGCCTGTCTTTCGCTTTATAAGCAATGTCATGGAACACCTAAAGGATAAGAGATGTGCTGATTGACAAGAGAGCCCTCTATGTGCCTCTACATGCCTCACATGCCTCACAGCATGGTGAGCCTGAAAAGGGCAATCTATAATCCATTTTGATATTTAATATATATTCAGTATAATCATATTCTCATACTTCCTATCAGCTTGTCCCAAACTATTTTGCTATTCTGATTGTGAACCCAAAGAATATAAGTAGAGGCAGGAGAAAACAGCTGTGTTTCTTTTATATGTTTTTTATTTTTATCAATACTGCAACACCACGTTGCCTTTCATCTCCCACTGGTAGGCACCATTACTGCTATAGCTGCTGTGGAAGCCAGATGAAAATGGTTTGGAGAAATACACAAAAGAGTCATTCTCTGAAATCAAAACGACTGGGACAAACCATTGCTGGTAATTCAAAAAGGAAAAGTTCAAGCTGAGTGTTAAGATCGGGTTAAGACCCAAACATTGCAACTCTCAAACACACAAATAATGTCAGCTATTAAAGGAAGAAAAATCCAAGTTATACCAGTAACACATAAAGCAAAGGGCTTTAAGCAGGTGATCGTCTGTCTAACCTTTTAGCGAGGCAATAACTAAACCATTCAAGGCAGCAAATGCATCGTATCTTTTATATAGATAGCCAAAGAAGGAGCTTCCAGACGCACATAATCCTCTTCGCCAACCTTCCCATTCTTCCAACCTAGCTGATGATCTGAAAAGTCGTTTATACCTTTTCATACCTCATAAGTCAAATTCTTTAGTCTTCAGGAGAAAAGCTGGCTCCTGCTTAATATCCTTGCCTATGCCTAAAGACTGCTACTAAATCTCTTCTCTTCGACAAGAATTTTTTAAAAGCTGTCAAACAAATAATATGTCACAGTCTGGGGGTTATGAGGTTGAGGGCAGGGCCATCCACGGTGCCAGCACCTCGTCCGCCACAGGCACAGCAACTGCAGAGGCTGGAAAGTCAGAGGGTCACTCTTCCAGCTGCCCCCGAAGATAAGGACTGACAGTTTTGACCAATGAGATAGAAGGAAAAAGCTGTCTGGAAACCTTTAGGATACCTGTTAAAAGAGACAGCTCCTGCTAACATTCCAGCCCCCTTTTTCCTGCCTTGAATACAGAAGAGATGGCTGGGGCTGATGGCAGTAGCCATCTTAAGATGCCAAAGCAAGAGCCTTGGCTCTTGATTTATCATGAAGCGGTGACGTTAAACCAACTCTGGCCACTGCCTACCTCCAAATTTCCTGACATGTGTGTAAAAAAAAAAAAAAAAACCTGAATAGTTTAAGCCACTATAAATCAGATTTTTTTTTTTCTGTCACTTAGAGCCTAAAGCATTTCTCATTGCTACATCTTAGGCGGAAGGATTTTTTTTAAGAAAATATAAACATACAGAAATCAATAAAAGAACCCCCTGAGAGGCTTAGTTGCCTCAAGGGGGAAAACCAGCATAGCTATACATCAATGCTCTTGGTCTCACATTAAGCAACCATGTGAGTAATCACCAAGCTGAACTACCATAACTAAATGCCCTATTCTCCACTTAACACACGGAGAAGCTAACAATCAAGTAATAAAGCAAAAGTAAAACATCTGGGAAGATAGTAAGCTAAAAAGAAACAGAGGCAGAAATCAATGATCCCATATCCTAATTGTATTTCTCCTACTGAGACTAAGGTTTAGGGTTTCATTGTGTCTAAAACGTGTGTAACAACATTCAAGCTGTTATGAGAGTAAGGCTGTAATTCCAAAGTACTAGAGACTCTGCCGTAATGGTTGCTATGGCATTTTAGTGTGTGTATAATTCCTTCCCACAAGATAAGAAGACCATAAAAACAGGTACTTTCTGATACCTAAGAAAAAAATGCATGATCCATTTCATTATGCGTTACTTTATAGAACCCATTATTTCTGATGTGATATATGGACACCTGAACTCCCAGAATGAATATGTTAAACATTTTAAGAGATAAAGCTTAAATTAATACAGTGATGTGAACTTTTTAAAGAATATTTCACATACATCAGTTTGAAGAATTACAATGCTTAGAAAAAGAAAAGAAACTATATCTTGTTCCAGCATAATTTTTTTTTTGTTTTTGAAAACTGTATAGAGATCAGCTATCTGCCATGAATGACTGTGCCTCATGTCATAGAGAAGACTGGTAGCCACATAATTCTAACTGAATACATTGTGACAGCCAATTCACAGTACAAAAACTATACAAGTGGGACGTTCACGGATCACCATGTGCTGGACCGCCTACCTCATCAGACATCAAGGTGGCAATGGCTCTGCCAATCTCATGGTAGGACTTGGCTTTTCCCTTAGGACCTAAGAGAATGAACAAGAACCTAATGGAAGAGGAAAGAAGCAAAAGCTATAAAACACATTTCATCAAAGTTAATATACATAAAACTGAGACACGTTTATCTTGGTTGATAAAAAACACGGGTCTAGAATTCATCTTTAAAACAAAGACAATATTCTTGGTAATGCGACAGATGCTCTTTCAACAAACTGTTGTTTCTCTGGAGGCAAGGGAGAACTTCACATGGAAACCCTGAGATTTCCATTGAGTTACTGAGTTACTGAGTTACGTTGAGTTACTGAGCCAGAGAAATGCACTTTGGGAGTCATTCAATCTCCTTTTTTTAAACTTTCTTCCCTCTCCATTTCTACTGACTTTCAAAATTTTGAAGAAAACCCATTAAGCACAATAACCAGAAAGACTTAGGACATCTTCAGATTTCTCTGACTTTTCCTTACTCAATACGAACAATGACAAATGACCCTCTCCATACTTTTATGAAATATTTCTGCTCAGAAGTGACTGGAGGTCAGCAAAAACCAAATCCTCTATAAGTAAGCCACATGCTGACAGCCAAAGTAAAGAAAAAGAAATATGAGAGAAATATTCAAAATAAAGCATCATTCTCAGACGGTTAAAATTCTTTTCTGGGTGCCCTCGTTTTCCTTTCCAAACTTGTTTTCTTGATAATGCACACTCACTGCTCTATGGTAAGTAGGTCCTGAAATTTGCAATAATGAGCTTATCCGCACTTAGGTTGTGTCTTGACTAGGGAGGGAGAAACCCAGTAAGTAAGTGACTAAGAAAAAAATAAATAAAAGGCAACATGGATACATCTCTGCCTTGCTTATGATCATGGCTCACCTAATATGTAGACAATAAGGGCAATAAAAATGATCGTATCATGTTTGCTCAGCTTTTTAAAGCTTGCAAAGCATTTCACATTCATCACCTCATTTAAACTCCATATACCCTTTTGCAATAAGGATGTTCTCTTATTCCCATTTAATGGTGAGGATGCTGAGGCTCGAGGAGGTTGGTGGATGAGCCAAGATTGTGCCTAGTAAATGGGAGAGAGCAGACAGGCCTTCTCACCTCCAGTTCTTCTTAGCATACAATTCTGCCTGGTATTACCTGCCCAACCTACGACTTCCACGGGTCACCCTGGTGAAAGATGCTGTGGATACTGAGTTGGGAACAAGAAATCTTAGGTAAAATTTTATGGGACCAGGGACAGTGGGGGAATTGCTTAATAAAATTTTATTTTTTACTTATTTATTGATATACCTTACTTCATTTTTTAAAGATTTATTTATTTATTTGACAGGCAGAGATCACAAGTAGGCAGAGGCTGGCAGAGAGAGAGGAGGAAGCAGGCTCCCCGCTGATCAGGGACCCCGATGTGGGGCTCAATCCCAGGACCCTGGGATCATGACCTGAGCTAAAGTCAGATGCCTAACCAACTGAGCCACCCAGGAACCCCTATATGCTCCACTTTAAATAAAAATGGGTTGAACAGCAAGTATTCTTCAAAGTATTAGGGTTTGTTCCCAAAAGCCCTTGAATAAATAATTTCTTCTTTTCATTATAAAATTCAATCCAAAAGGGAAAGGGGAAAAGAATAGAAATTAAGAATATAAGAAGGTATCTCAAAGATTCAATGTTTTGATTTTATACCGAAATAACCATAAAACTGTTCAATACTTATTTGCTTAGAAACCAGTTCTGGCATGAGGCGGCACATTCACTTTCAAGTGTTATCACAATAGATGAAAAAGCAAAAGCAATCGGCAGGCACAAAAGTCTGCTCAAGTATGAAGGAAGTCATTATTAAAATTGGATTTTTAGTTCTTCTAATTCTGAAGTTCAGTTGATACTAGAACCTTTCTTTGTTCAAAGCTGGACCTAAATTGTATACCACTACATATAGTATTACAAAGTGCTTCCTTATGACAGTAAAATGTACTTTACTAAAGGGACAGATCACTGATTTGAGTGCAACACATGCAAAAAATATTGAACCACTAAAGCGAAATATAAATCCAGTTACAGATTTATATCAGTACTCATCACATTCCCCAGTCCTCCTTGCCTGTCTAGCAATGGCAAGGCATGTCTAGGCAAAGGGGACTGATGACTGAAGCTGGGTAGCAAGAGAAAATATCAAACACCTGGATCCTTTACCTGACACATTTTTAAATAAAGGGTTTCCTTTACCCACCATCTTTTGCTATTTTAATGTGTCTAAACATTAGTGTTTCAGTAAGACACAATATCTAAAATCTTTCCAGAACCACTCCGTACCTCTTCCTACCTTGCCCTATATCTCCATCACCATGATAGTTTACAAATACACATCATGGAAATAAATACACATGTATCAACTGACATGTGAATTAATTATCAGGTTGGCTATATGGCAACAAAGCCAAAAATACTATTTTGTTAGAAAGTGAGACAAATATGCTCAGTTATTGGTCATCCTCAATAAACTCTGGCAGATGATGGGTAACTATTCCAAGAGCTGGGAGAGTAATGGAGCCTCTAATTTAAGCCCTATGAGATGAGGGCATATGTTTTCTGCAAATATTTACTCTGGTCTCTGCTAACAGGTACCAAAGAACGAATGGAAGTAGTAGACCAATAGTGACTAAAATATATATTATAGGAATAAGCCCAATATATGAGAATTATATTATTTCGGTAACTTAAATATAAAGGTACAATTTCTCTTTCCTGGATAATGTAATTTTTCCTTTAAAAACCCAGGTATATATTATATGTAATATATAAATATTTATTAATACATGTATTTATTTATTTATTCTTTAATGGAGAATCAATTCTGCCCAACAGAAACAAAATGTTACATATCAGTGAAAATTTTCCATTACTCCAGTCAGAGACCATTCAATAAATTCAAACTTTTAAAATGATAGAGAGAAGAAATCTAGCCATCTGTAGGTAGCAGGAAACATCACCTCAGGTCAAGAATTTCCTCTGTAGGAACAGAAACCCTTAAGAACCCCCTAATTTGGACTGCATTGTTGAAATGGTGATGAGAGGTCTGGAAAACTAGCAACAGAGAACAACTCATCAAGTTGAAGTTCCCTCTGCCTGAAACATGTTCTTTTCCCTTTAACCCTCAAAGAAGCAAAAGCTGTTACAACTTTTATGATAAAAGTACATCTTGCCAAACTCAGCTTTTATAACATACTGAAAACTCCTTTCATGACCCAAGCTGGTTTTTGTCAATGGACAGATGTTATTTTTAACCAGAAGCTTTTTTCTTGATTAACAAATTAGAGTAAACATCACATTTGTGTGGCTGGAAGGGCACAGCCATGTTGACAGCTGGGGAAAATAAATTAATTTATGTTACTGAGTTCTTTTTATCCACTCATAACCAGAAATAAAGTCATAGTTAGAATTTTTGATAGTGCTAGTTGTCTCAAGAATCTGCATGAGGTTCCTCTACTCTTGTGAGCTTTTCCACAGACCTAATTATGCCTGAGGAGGGTGCCTCTAGCATTCTCCACAACAAAAATAAGTACCAGATGATCTCTGTCCGGAACCAATGGACTATACTCACATTCACAAAATAATTATAGGCAGAAACAGGGCATAATATCAGAAAAAGAGCCAGCCTTCCTAAACCACTCAATCTTTTCAGAAAGGATGTGCACCCCCCCTTCCTGATATATCACAGCTATTTCTAGAATAAACTCAGCATGTACCAATCCTTTACTCCCTGCTCTCAAAACAGCAGTGATCAAATAAGCCATTATTCATATTTAGCAGCTTTGGAAACGATGGCTAAACTGTAGCTTCCACAATAGATAAATGAGGACCACAAATGCACCATAACCAACCACATTACATATGGCAAGCAGCAGCTAGCAACTGAACTGTTGGACACGACAGGACTGAAGTAGTGGGATCTCCATCCCAATCCCCAAAATGAGATTTTCTATGGTTTTGATAATTAAGCACAAACTGCTGCTCTCGGGCACATCACCATGTATCACGTAAAATAATATTAACTGACACTGATATGGAAAGGGTAAACATCCTAATTTTGTAGAGGACCAGAACTTACTGAATAGTATTTGCCTTAAATGTAAAAATCAAGATCAGAAAAGAGCAAACTGATCAGGGTCTTTTATTTTTCTTCATGGAAAACCTTAATGTACTTTGCTCAAGTCCACTCTACATAGCTCCTTAGATTCTCCCCAAAAGCCTGGCTTCAAGTCGGAAATCTGCAGTTCTGTTTCTAGCACTGAATATGGTTCTCCTCGTTGCCTCCATCTCTCAGCTGTGAAATGGGAATAATACTCCTTATCCCCTACATCGCTCATAAATATGAGTGAGTGGCAGACTCCGTGGACAGACAGAAGATGACAGCGAGCCAAGTGTCCACAAGATACTGGGAGAATCATAAACCTATTCTATCAAGTCACCAAATATCAAAGAACAGTTTGTTTGCCTTCACATGGATGGCAAGAAGGGCCCCTAGGCAGGTAGCATCCACCCAGCTGGCACCAGTCCAGGTCCAAGCACCACGCTCAAGTACATTCAGCCAGTAACTAACTAGAGAACCTTGTTGCTACATATAGCTGCTAGATCCAGCTTCTCAAAAAGTGCATGGCCATAATATCACTTATTACATGTAGTAATAATAACAATCATAAATGTAAGAGCATAACTTTCTTCCCACTTCTCAAGGAAAAATGACATTTAGCAAATGTCCACAAAACCAGACTTTTCAGGTCTCCCCACAGTAGGACAGGGTAGCGCCTTAAAGCACACCACTGAGTACAGAGGCAGTCCTTCACAATAACTACCCAGCTCCTTGTGGGATTTCCTTGATTGGATTTCACAGGATGCAGCCATTGTAAATGGCCCCACATTACTCACACACAAAAAGGCTAATGAGACTCCCTACTCAGTGATTATAGCACGCACTGGTTCAGAGGACAGCAAATGGATAAAATTGTTTCCTGGAAAAATGTTAACATACTTGGATATATTGTTCAGATTATTGCCCTGAAATAGTTTTATGGCATTATTGAATTACATTCCCTTGAAATACCGAGCATCTTTTGTTCATTCAAATGATGCTGTATTTCACCTGTAGACTGGAAACACTCTCCTGTACAGAAGAAAAGAATAAGCCAGATGGGAGCAGATGATAAGAGAGATACACAAATGGTCATGATTGGCTGCACAATGAACTCCTGTTATTGTTAAATAAAAAGCCCTTTGAAATATTTTTTCTTGTAGCTTCTAGATAAAAGTAAGAAAAATGAAAATGCAAGAGCAACTTAACACTTCGTGACATTTTTTTTTTTTTCCTTCAAGCCCCAGTAAAATTAGTCCAAAGACACATGAAAGAAACCATAGGGGCACAAGAGCTGGACGTCAGCCATGATCTGAGTCAGCGAGCGGCCTGGCAGGTGATTGCTCAGGTAGAACTGCAAGGCTCGGCTGGAATGTTTTCAAGTGAACAACCAAGTTACAGAAAACATGAATTGTGATGATCCCATTAATTCAGTAAGATATGATCATTTTCTTTCCTTTGCCATTTGTCCACTGACTGCCTACTAGTGACCAGAAATAAGGAATAATCCTTATTCCCATTTTAAGTGTCTAGGAAACAGAAGAATAAGGAGAAAATACCTGTATGAAAAGAAAAAAATAGCCTGTAATCTATGGCTCAGGAGGCCACAAGGAAAGGTTCTCATTTCTCTCCCAACCTGGCTCAAAGCAAACCCGGAGCCCCTTGTCTCAGGGTATGAGGCTGAGACCATCTGAGATCACTGAGGAGGAGTCACAACCCTTCTTGCTCACGTGAGGAAACCTAAAAGAGATGGAAGTCACCTGTCCTTGCCCAGTACCCACAAAAAAGCACCCCCTTCACGTGATAATTTTATGATGTCAACTTGAAGATTACAAACTTCTCTTTAAATGCTTCTTTAGCACAAGCTGAAGTGAAGTATTAACTCCTGTTTACCTGTGGCACTCGGTAACTCTAGCTTCGAACTCTCGAGCTCAGCTGCAAGGTGGATAGACTGGTGCGGTGGGGACGTGGTCGTAATAATCCTAATACGCTCCCTTTTAGAATCAGAATTGATGTGATACAACACAAAATAGTAAAAGTGTGCATATTTAAGTGTGCAGCTTAATGATTTTTCTATGTGTGCGTATATATATACACGTAGTCACACACACACATATATATATATATATATACATACACATGTGTATGTGTGTATATATATGTTACCAATTATCTGATAAAATGTAGAGCAACCCAAAGCAACTCTGACCTCTGAAACATTTACCATCTATATGACATTGGACAAGTTACTTAAATTCTCAGACTCAGTTTCTTCATCTGTAAAATCCATATACTTATAGTTTAAACTTTAAAAATATTATTATGAGAAGCTGGCTCAGTCAGAGGGGCTCTTGATCTCAGGGTTGTGTGTTCAAGCCCCATGCTGGATGTAGAGATCACTTAAAATAAATAAACTTTAAAAATATATATATTACTGTGAGAATTAAACCAACTAATCCTTATAAATAAATTAGTACATGGCCCAAATAATTATTATAATTGTTATTATTACTATTATACAAGTGCCAAGTAATTTAATAGCATGAAAGGCTAAACCATTATTTCAGATCAAACCTTTCCAATATGCGTGCTCTGGATGCATCTCTGATTCTCTAGCCAAAACCACTCTATAAGCACACAGTAGACCCCAGCAGGTCAGGGAACAGCTTACCTTGTGGGCACAGGGACCTCAGTCAGGGCACCCAGCATGACTGCCTGCTGGAGCCGAACAAAGGCAATGAAAGGAGTATCCAAGAAGTCAACTTCCCCAACAAGCACATTGGAGGCTTCTGCATCACGTGGCAGTTTTTTCATGAACTTATTCTTCAGCTGCATGGGAAGAGCCAAGAAAACACAATTTATTTCCAGAGAAGGGAACAAAAACAGATAATCCATCTATCACCCAAGGCAATTCCTTTATATGAGTCTACACACAACAGGCTCTAGCTAGCCATTTTTCTATTACATTTAACCCTTCTATTATAATAAACATTACTCTGTACTTTGGATTCAAAAATATTGAAGGTATAATCACATGGCTTACACCTAAAACTATGTTTACATATAAAACTATTTATTTATTTATTCACTTGCTCAATAAATGTAAGTTGAGAGTCTACTATGAGCCAGGCATTGATCTAACCCCTAGGAATACAGGGATAGATCAACAAATTCTATCTTCCTTGGGTCATATTCCACCAGAAGAGAAATAAAGTATTATTTAAAGTAATGATAAGTGCTAAGAAGGAAAAATAAAACAGGCTGGAAGGTACTATTTTAGACAGGGTAGTCAGGGAAAGCCTCTGAAGAAGTACATTTTACACTGGATTGAGGGGACAAGCCATGCAATGATCTGCTCAAAGAATATTCTAGGCAAAGAGAACAGCAAGTGCAAAGGCTTGAGGCAGAAAAGAGCTTGGCAGAGAGGTAGAGTAAGAGGTGAGTGCGGGGGTAGTTAAAGGAGCAAAGAAGAGAAAACAGCAGCAAACGAAAAATCGCACAGGTGTGGGGGGCAGATGGTAAGAGCCTTGAAGGCTACCATAAGGAGTTTGGGAAGTTTTAGGTGGGACTTGCCTACTAAAAACCCAGGTGGAAAGGTGAAGTTGGAAGACGTACATTTAGAAGATATTACCACATAAAGAGAATTTAGGACTATGAGACAGGATGACACAACCTTGAGTGTGAGTGTAGATAGAGAAGAGGGATAAGACCTAAACGCTGGGCCACTTTATCTTTTATAGGAATGGGAGGAGATCTCAGCAGAGGACACCCTCAAAGAGCAGCCAGTCAGGTCAGAGGAAAACCAGGATACACCAACTATCAGGTGAAGAAAGGGCTCGATGAAGAAAGTATATCCGCTGAGTCACAGGCTGCTGAAAGTTCAAATAAGATGAGAACTAAGAATGGATGAATGAAATTCATCAAGATGGAGGTGCTGGGTGATCTTGACAAGAGCAGTTACGGTGGACACCAGAGTGCCCAGTGAAGAACAGGAAGTGAAGAAGTGGAGACAGGCAGTAGAGAGAATTATTTCGAGAAATGTTGCTACCAAGAAAAGGCAAGGAATAGGAAAGTAGGTAAAGGAAAACATAAAATAGAGAATTTCTTCTAAATGGCAAGTGTGCTAACACTTTGGAATGTTAATGAGACAGATTACTGCGGCAGGAGATACAGGGGACAACCACAGAAGTAGTTCAAGTAACCTTGAACTATGGAAACAAGAACTGAGAAGTAAGCTGAGGAGGAAGGGAGGGATGGTAGGTGGAAATTTGAGGAGGGTGGTAAAAGTATAAAGAGATTTTTCTTGGGGAATAAAGGTTGCTTCTTATGGTCACTTGGAAAGCTTATCTTATAGGTGTAATTTGTCCCTTTCCTGGGCTTCCCCAAGTTCCACTTAGAACAGACCTATTCAAGCACTCTTCAGTGAATGGGAAACACCTCCCACAGCTCAAGGAAGACATTTCAACAATTGTGGAAGATGGAGATAAGAACTTTGCAGGGCTATATGAAAGGCACAGATTTCTGATATATACTAATCATCAATAGTTACCAGGGAACTCCATACTTTTTGCCATGAATTACTGTTGAGATGGGAAATGGCAGACATGGTCCAATCTCCCCCAGTAGTAAAATGGTTACAGTAAAAAAAAAAAAAGTTATAGGGGTTATAATAACAATTTCCATTTTTTTCCCTTCATCACACTCTTCTTTTTTTTTTTTAATTTCTTTTCAACATAACAGAATTCATTGTTCGTTTGTTTGTTTTTTTTTGTTTTTTTTTAATTTTATTTTTTATAAACATATATTTTTATCCCCAGGGGTACAGGTCTGTGAATCGCCAGGTTTACACACTTCACAGCACTCATCATAGCACATACCCTCCCCAATGTCCATAATCCCACCCCCCCAACCCCCCTCCCCCCATTAACCCTCAGTTTGTTTTGTGAGATTAAGAGTCACTTATGGTTTGTCTCCCAATCCCATCTTGTTTCATTTACTCTTCTCCTACCCCCTTAAGCCCCCATGTTGCATCTCCTCTCCCTCATATCAGGGAGATCATATGATAGTTGTCTTTCTCCGATTGACTCACTTCGCTAAGCATGATACCCTCTAGTTCCATCCACGTCGTCGCAAATGGCAAGACTTCATTTCTTTTGATGGCTGCATAGTATTCCATTGTGTATATATACCACATCTTCTTTATCCATTCGTCTGTTGATGGACATCTAGGTTCTTTCCATACTTTGGCTATTGTAGACATTGCTGCTATAAACATTCGGGTGCACGTGCCCCTTCGGATCACTACGTTTGTATCTTTAGGGTGAATACCCAGCAGTGCAATTGCTGGGTCATAGGGTAGTTCTATTTTCAACATTTTGAGGAACCTCCATGCTGTTTTCCAGAGTGGTTGCACCAGCTTGCATTCCCACCAACAGTGTAGGAGGGTTCCCCTTTCTCCACATCCTCGCCAGCATCTGTCATTTCCTGACTTGTTAATTTTAGCCATTCTGACTGGTGTGAGGTGGTATCTCATTGTGGTTTTGATTTGTATCTCCCTGATGCCGAGTGATGTGGAGCACTTTTTCATGTGTCTGTTGGCCATCTGGATGTCTTCTTTGCAGAAATGTCTGTTCATGTCCTCTGCCCATTTCTTGATTGGATTATTTGTTCTTTGCGTGTTGAGTTTGCTAAGTTCTTTATAGATTTTGGACACTAGCCCTTTATCTGATATGTCATTTGCAAATATCTTCTCCCATTCTGTCAGTTGTCTTTTGGTTTTGTTAACTGTTTCCTTTGCTGTGCAAAAGCTTTTGATCTTGATAAAATCCCAATAGTTCATTTTTGCCCTTGCTTCCCTTGCCTTTGGCGATGTTCCTAGGAAGATGTTGCTGCGGTTGAGGTCGAAGAGGTTGCTGCCTGTGTTCTCCTCAAGGATTTTGATGGATTCCTTTCTCACATTGAGATCCTTCATCCATTTTGAGTCTATTTTCGTGTGTGGTGTAAGGAAATGATCCAATTTCATTTTTCTGCATGTGGCTGTCCAATTTTCCCAACTCCATTTGTTGAAGAGGCTGTCTTTTTTCCATTGGATATTCTTTCCTGCTTTGTCGAAGATTAGTTGACCATAGAGTTGAGGGTCTATTTCTGGGCTCTCTATTCTGTTCCATTGATCTATGTGTCTGTTTTTGTGCCAGTACCATGCTGTCTTGATGATGACAGCTTTGTAATAGAGCTTGAAGTCCGGAATTGTGATGCCACCAACTTTGGCTTTCTTTTTCAATATTGCTTTGGCTATTCGAGGTCTTTTCTGGTTCCATATAAATTTTAGGATTATTTGTTCCATTTCTTTGAAAAAAATGGATGGTACTTTGATAGGAATTGCATTAAATGTGTAGATTGCTTTAGGTAGCATAGACATTTTCACAATATTTATTCTTCCAATCCAGGAGCATGGAACATTTTTCCATTTCTTTGTGTCTTCCTCAATTTCTTTCATGAGTACTTTATAGTTTTCTGTGTATAGATTCTTAGTCTCTTTGGTTAGATTTATTCCTAGGTATCTTATAGTTTTGGGTGCAATTGTAAATGGGATGGACTCCTTAATTTCTCTTTCTTCTGTCTTGTTGTTGGTGTAGAGAAATGCAACTGATTTCTGTGCATTGATTTTATATCCTGACACTTTACTGAATTCCTGTACAAGTTCTAGCAGTTTTGGAGTGGAGTCTTTTGGGTTTTCCACATATAGTATCATATCATCTGCGAAGAGTGATAGTTTGACTTCTTCTTTGCCAATTTGGATGCCTTTAATTTCCTTTTGTTGTCTGATTGCTGAGGCTAGGACTTCTAGTACTATGTTGAATAGCAGTGGTGATAACGGGCATCCCTGCCGTGTTCCCGACCTTAGCGGAAAAGCTCTCAGTTTTTCTCCATTGAGAATGATATTTGCGGTGGGTTTTTCATAGATGGCTTTGATAATATTGAGGTATGTGCCCTCTATCCCTACACTTTGAAGAGTTTTGATCAGGAAGGGATGCTGTACTTTGTCAAATGCTTTTTCAGCATCTATGGAGAGTATCATATGGTTCTTGTTCTTTCTTTTATTAATGTCTTGTATCACATTGATTGATTTGCGGATGTTGAACCAACCTTGCAGCCCTGGAATAAATCCCACTCGGTCGTGGTGAATAATCCTTTTAATGTACTGTTGAATCCTATTGGCTCGTATTTTGGCGAGAATTTTTGCATCTGTGTTCATCAAGGATATTGGCCTGTAGTTCTCTTTTTTGATGGGATCCTTGTCTGGTTTTGGGATCAAGGTGATGCTGGCCTCATAAAATGAGTTTGGAAGTTTTCCTTCCATTTCTATTTTTTGGAACAGTTTCAGGAGAATAGGAATTAGTTCTTCTTTAAATGTTTGGTAGAATTCCCCCGGGAAGCCATCTGGCCCTGGGCTTTTGTTTGTTTGGAGATTTTTGATGACTGTTTCAATCTCCTTACTGGTTATGGGTCTGTTCAGGCTTTCTATTTCTTCCTGGTTCAGTTGGGGTAGTTTATATGTCTCTAGGAATGCATCCATTTCTTCCAGATTGTCAAATTTGTTGGCGTAGAGTTGCTCATAGTATGTTCTTATAATTGCCTGTATTTCTTTGGTGTTAGTTGTGATCTCTCCTCTTTCATTCATGATTTTATTTATTTGGGTCCTTTCTCTTTTCTTTTTGATAAGTCTGGCCAGGGGTTTATCGATCTTATTAATTCTTTCAAAGAACCAGCTCCTAGTTTCGTTGATTTGTTCTATTGTTTTTTTGGTTTCTATTTCATTGATTTCTGCT